GTGCCTGTGAATGGCAACCCTCCTGAGGTTTAAGGTGTCCTGTCCTGTCTTTTCCTTTATGTAGTACTAGAAATTGAACCCAGGGCCTGTACACTAGCCTATATCTCCAACCCCTTTTTCATTGTTTATTTATTTATTTTTGGTTTTTTGAGACAGGGTCTCCCTATGTAGTTGAGGCCTGGAACTCACTATGTAGCCCAGGCTGGTCTCGAATTCAACAGCGACCCTCCTGCCTCAACCTCCCGAGTGCTGGGCATATTTATTTATTTATTTTTTTTGAGTCAGGGTCTCACTACATAGTTCAGTAGGGAGCTTAGGCTTGCCTCAAACTTCACAGTGATCCTCCTGCCTCAGCCTCCTGAGTGCTAGGATTACAGGCTTGTGTTACCACACCTGATTACTGTATTTTTAATTTTGAGACAGGGTCTCACTAAGTGCCTCAGTTGCCCAGGTTGGCCTTGAATTTGTAATCCTCTTGCCTCAGCCTCCCAGAGTAGGTTTATAGGTGTGCACCACTATGGCAGGCTTTTTTTTTTTTTTCTTTAAATTGTAGCTGCAGGTTGGCATATGTGTCTCTCTGGGTCTTGAACAAGATCCTGCTGGCCATCCCAGACCTCTAGCCACACACTCTGGGTGCTGGCTTTTTTCCTTTGCAAAAGCCACTACTGGCTCCTCATGGTCAGAATTAAAGGCCCTGCTCAGCTTCCCACTGGCGACCTCTGCCTCGGCCCTCCCTCTACCCTATGCTTCAGCCCTGCTGTCTCTCTTCTACTTCTCAGGGCTGAGCTGTGCTCTTCCTGTGCTGTCCTCCCTCCTCCTCCTGGCAAACAGACATGTCTGTCAGCACATAGCCAAAATGTTGTGGCATAATCAAGTACTCCCTGCTGTGCCCACAGCATTAGTCACAGGATCAGGCCATGAGATGCATGTGTGGTCGCCTCTCCTGCCAGACTGAGAGGCTTCAGGGCAGGGGCAGATAGGGAAGGTCTCTGCTTCCAAGGCTGGATCCCAGCGGTGTCAGGAATGTGGGGGTACAGAGATGAATGGAGGCGTGTAGCCGAGTGCATGATGGGTGGCGGGGCGGCGGCGGTGGTGCTGCATTGTGGGTGGGTGGAAAAGCAGGATAATGACTATTTTAATGTTCTCACCTGTCCCATCTTCTTCCCGGTCCCTCCTTCCAACCTTTTCACACACAAAACATCTGTAATGATCCAGAAGAGAACTCCCTCTTTAAAAAAAATCAGTATTAGAGATTGATGCTAGGGGCTGATCCTGGGTTCTGCCTCCAGCATGAGAGAAGGAGAGAGGGGTGGGGGAGGAAAAAGGAGTAGGAGAGACGGAGGGACCCAGGGAGAAAGGGAGAGGGACAGCTTTGCTTTTGGGTACAGGGGATCGAACTCAGGACCTTCTGCTTGCCATGCGCAGTGCCACTGAGCTAAATCTCCCCGGCCCCTAGGGACAGCTTTGGAGTAGAGGTGAGCTGACAGACTAACCGGAGCTCAGACAGATCCCTCAGAGGAAGGGTGTGGCAGAGCCCAGAGCTCCAATGTGCCCACTCCTCTGGCTGCCTTGGAGCAGTTGGGCCCCTGAGGACTTGGAAGTCTCCCCAGAGATCCCCATCCTTCTGCCACACCAGAAGATTCACTCACTTCCGGTGAGAGCTTTGCTTATATCAGACAGCCTCTGCCAAAGACATGTTTCCCCTCTCTGGGAGTCATTGTTTTTTTTGTTTTTTTTTTTTTTTTTTTTTTTGAGACAGGGTCTGGAATGTAGTTCAGGCTGGCTTTGAACTCATTATATTTTTCTTTTTTTCCTGGCACAGGGAATGGAGCTTGGGACCTTGCGCTTGCGAGGCAGGTGGTGGAACTACTGAGCTAAATCCCAAGCCCTTCATTATGTAACAGAGGTTGGCCTCAAACTCTCAGCTATCCACCATATCCTGCTTATTGGCATTTAAACATGAATTACCTTTCCATCTGTCCTGGGTGGCAGAACTGCTGGTGGCTAAGAGAGATGGGGCAACTTTGTGGCCTACAATGCTAAACCTCCAGCGCATGCCTGTAACCTCAGCTACTGGGGAAGCTGAGGCAGGAGGATCAACTTTGAGCCCAGCCTGGGCTACTTAGTGGCTTTGTCTAGACCTTGTCTCAGAATAAAAAAATCAAAAAGGTTAGAGATGTGGCACAGTATGAAGGCCCTGGGTTTGATCCCTGGTACAAAAAGAATGACAAAAACAAAATAAGATTGGAGACCTCTCAACAGTGGGCAGAAAGGACTAGGTCTGCCAGTGTTTTCCTGACTCAGTGGTGGCCTCCTAGAGTAGGTATGCATTACTTTTGCTCACTATGCAGTTTCTTTCTCTCCTTTATTTATTTATTTAGTTAGTTAGTTTTGGTTTTGTATTGTGTTTTGAGACGGGGGTCTCACTATGTAGTTGAAACTGACCTGGAACTATGCAGCCCACGCTGGTCCCGAATTCACAGCGATCCTCCTGCCTCAGCCTCCCGAGTGCTGGGATTACAGGCGTGAGCCACCATGCCCCGCTATTTATTTTTTGTGATGCTAGAGATGGAACCCAGGGCCTCACCCTCACTAGGTAAGTGTTCTGCCACAGAGATCCACTCTCACCCCTTCAGTTTTATGCAGGATTTGAACTTGTGACCCTCTTACTTCAGCCTCCCTCAGTCCTGAGGTTACAGCCACTGTACCCTGCTTCCATTTCCTTTTGATGACTGACCTCATCTTGCTCATTGCATGTGGTTCTGTTTGGTTTGCTTTGGTTTTTGTTGTACTGGGGATTGAACCCAGGAAGTGCTGAACCACATCCCTACCCCTTTTTATTTTTTGAGACAGGTCTTCCTAAATTGCCCAGATTGGCCTTGGACTTTCAAGCTTCCTGCCTCAGCCGGGATCCCAGGTGTACACCTCCACACTTGGCTTGCATATAGTTCCTGTGGTGCCAGATTATCCTGGCCAACCAGAGCAATGTGTCATCCTGAGTACGGGATCAGGAAGGGTGTGTGACCCAAGCCAGGCCACACAGGCTGATGCTAGCACTGAAGGGACAAACCAGCTTCTCTGCAGCTTAGGGCTCCTCGCTATTCACTGGGAGGGCCTGCTGAGGGCCAGGCAGAGGCAGGAGGTGCTGTGCCCAGATCTCTCCCACTGCTAGGCTGCTACTTTCTCCCCACACTGGCTGGATTCATGTTTCTGCCACTTGCAATGTGCAGTTCCTGGAGAGACCTCTGCCTTCCAGCCCTCTCAGCCCAGATTGGCCATCTTCCCACTCTGCAAGTGGTGTGGCCAGCGCATACCAGTGGGACAGACAAGAGTCTTGACTAGAAGGGACCTCTTAGGCCATGGAATTCATTTCCTGGGGATTAAACGCTGGGCCTTTGCACTGAGCCACACCCCCACTCTTCTTTATTTTGAGATGGGGGGCTCCCATTAAATAGCTAAATTGCCCAGGCTGGGCTCAAAATTGTGATCCCTCTGCCTTGGCCTCCCACAGAGCTGGTATTACAGAGGTTCACCACCAATCCTGCACCATGGTTCCCCTTCTTATCTGATAGACTTGTCTGCGAGAGCAGGGCCTGGGCTGAGGGACTTTCAGCTGCCCCAAAGATGGCTGCACAGGTTCTTAGCAACACACAGCTCAAAGTGCCCCTGGTGCAGAGGAGGAAACCAAGAACCTAAGAAGTGACTCCACCCTGTGCACACTACAGGTACCTACTGGGGATTCACTTGGCCTTTCATTCCTTCCCATTGTCTTCAGGGTACCAGGATCCCCTGGGTGGCAGCATGGAGGTCCCAGAGACAGTAAACCAACCACCCTCTCTTGGCCAGCATGCTGTCCCTCATCCATCACCCAGGGAAAGCTTATTGAGTATCTTCTCCAGAGGTGGTGTAGCTAGGTCCTGCTAGGCCAGAATCTGGAAGGGATCCTAAGCAGACTTTCAAAAATACCTGCCATTAGCCAGCCATGGTAGCACATGTCTAATCCCAGCACTCTGGGAGGCAGAGGCAGGCAGATCACAAGTTTGAGCCCAGCCTGGGCAACTAAGTGACTTAGCAAGACCCTGTCTCAAAATGAAAAATAGAAAAAAGGCTGGGGATGCAGCTCAATGTGAAGGTTCTGTGTTCAATCCCCAGTACTGCAAAACAAACAAAAAGCAAAGCAAAACAAACAAACAAACAAAAAACCTACCAGTAGCTACATGTGGTTGCAAAAGCCTCTGTAGTCCCAGCTGCTCATGAGGCCAAGGTGAGGATTGCATCACCCCAGTAATTTGAGAGCAGCCTGGAAAACATAATGAAAACCTGCCTCAACAGCAGCAATGACAGCACAGACCTAACGACTAATGGCTGCTGTGTATTATTAGGTATGGGGCTGGCAATTTGAAGAGCTCCAGGTTCGTTATTGCACTCAATCTTCTGTCCATCACTGACAGGCAGGAGCCATAATTATTTGCACCTCCTCAACTTGGGGGCTGAAGGATGGCAGTTGAAATAACCTGAGAATAAAGCCCTTTCCACAGGTGTCCCCAGCACTGTGCCCCAGGACGACAATGGGGTGTTTCAGCACTGCCACTGGCCAGGATGGCAGGTGGGGGACTGACTGTGTCTGGAGGTGTTCCACAGCCCCAGGAGCAAGGCAGAGCCCAGGATGGCCCAGGTTTAGCACTGTCTCCTGGTCCTAGTCTCTCCTCTCTGCCCGGTGACCTCAGGTATACTCTGAGCTGACTGATGCAGAGCAAAGATTCTTTCCAAAATGGTGACATCATGATCATACAAATAGAAAGCGAACACACATCAAAGAATTCATCTGGAGGTGGGTGCAGTGGCGCACACCTGTAATGCTAGCACTTGGGAGGCTGAGGCAGGATTGGGTGTTGGAAGCCAGTCTGGGCTACATAGCAAGACCTCAAAAACAACAAAACAACAACAACAACAACAACAACAACAACAACAAGAAAACCCCAAGAAACAAATAAAGAATTTTATTCAATTGGTGGTATGGCTCAGTTGGTAGATTGCATGCTTAGCATTCACCAGGCCCTGGTTTTAATCTCCAGCACCAGAAATAAATAAAACCCCAAATGCTTTTAAGTCAACTATTTACCAAAGAGGGAACTAGTAGTATGTTATAGCAGGCTCAAAAGGGTATCTAAAGAACACACATGAGAGGAGAGTTGAGCAGCTGTCACCAGTGTGGCCTAGTTGGAGTGGTAAGAGGAAGCCAGTCACCCACTTCCCTCCGTCAGCGTGGCTGACTTGTTCCAACAACCACCACAGACACTGGAGATTGCTGCGATGTTCTAGGCATGAAGGGACCTGCCTCACACAAGTAGATTCAAAGGGCATGCAGGGAACTTGTACTAAGGTGGCATCCAGATAAAAGCCCTAGGATAAAGAAGCAGAGAGAAAATGTTATCAAGTAGCTGAGGCATATGAGGGTTTTTCAGATGCTATAAAATGGGATGTCTATGACGGATGTGGCCAAGAAGGATTAAACAGTGGAGGAGGCAGCAGAAGCCATTTTATTGGTCCATCACATTCTGGAATCCAGATGATGTCCTCAAGGGAATCTTCTTGTGGAAGAGACGATTTTCACTTGACTTCTTTGAAGGCCTATTGGAGGTTTTTTGAGAACCATAGATTCCTAAGGAAGGAGAAGCCTTGGTTTAGGCACTTCGTTCTCTGCCATCAGCGGGTTTCCATCCTTTCGAGGTGGATTTTTCTTCACTGGATACAGGCTTTACTTCTTTCAGGTCTCTAGGTCATGAGGGCATCACTTCTTTCTCTCCATGTCATTTGGTGGCAGTGGGACGGGCAACTTCACATCTATATCAAATTCTACTGAAATAGTGGCAGAAAAATTGTGATGAAGAGAATTGTTGAGAATGGTCAGAAAGGGTAGCGCTTGAAAACAGCCAGTTAAGCTGTTAATGATAAATGGTAAGGAGCAGTGGCTATGTTTGGGTAACAAGTAATTCAAAGCACACATTTAACAGACATGTTGAACTACAACAAGCACCATGTGATGATTAATAGGAACATTATTCTTGAAGTTTTTAAATGTACTTGACTTTCAGTGTAATTATACCTAAAGTATTTACAAACAACTCATTGGAGTTCCTATTTGTCCTAGACATTTTTTTTGAGACAAGGTCTCACTATTTACCAGGTTTAGCCCAGGGTGACCTCAAACTCATAGCAATCAAGGGCCGGAGATTTAGCTCAATGGCACTGCACTTGCCTTGCAAGTGCAAGGTCCAGACTTCAATCCCCGGTACAAAAAAAACCAAAAAAACAACAAACAAAAAAATCTCACAGCAATCTTCCTGCCTCAGCCCGCTGGATGCAGGGATTATAGGTATGTGCCACCACACTTGGCCTGTCATAGATTTTTTTAGTTTTTGGGACCACCCTATACGACCATTTTAGTTGTTAAAATTGCTTTTTTGTTGTTGTTGTTATTGTTGAGTGTGGAAGGTTGAGGCAGAATTGTGGCGAGTTCAAGGCCAGGCTAAATTACATAGTGAAACCCTGTCTCAAAAGACAAAAAAGGGCTGGGGATTTGGCTCAGTGGTTCTGCTGCCTCCCTTGCTAAGCAAATGCGCCCGAGTTTGATTCCTGGTACCGAAAAAAACATACTAAAAAAATTTTTTTTGTATTTTTTTTCCTGATACAGGGTCTCACTACATAGTTGAGACTGACCTGGAACTCACTATGTAGCCCAGGCTGGTCTCCAACTCACAGCGATCCTCCTGCCTCAGCCTCTCGAGTGCTGGGATTACAGGCATGCGCCACCACGCCCGGCTTTGAAAAAAATTTTTTTAATGGTAGCAAAGTTTAGTATATGTGCTGCTGAAGTGAGCATGGTAGCAAAGTTTTATTAAAGGTAGAAAAAGAAACAGGGTCAAATAAAAGTAGGGAAAAAAGTATACTGCACAGCATGAGGATGGCCATCATAAAGAGCAAATATAGTGGCTGGTGTTTAACATTGTTGTAATCTTTGTATGCACTTTTTTATTAAACATAATTCAAGGTAAGCCTTGGCTTTTGAGTAGCACTAAACACTAGCGCTCATCTCCTCCCACTGTATTTGAAATGGGAGCCAAGTAGTGTCTGCCTGTTGTGAAACTAGCATTGTCAGAATGGGTCCTCCACAGAAATAATTTCCAGTTTTTCAGCATTTAGTAATGAAAGATACTAATGCATTAATGGTAATACATTTCTGGTTTAATTTAAGGGTGTTTTCAGGCTATGCGTGGATGCTGACAACTTAGTAAGGTTTGGACAATTGTTAAAATATGTAATATTAAGCTTTGATTTTTAAAAAGCTAGCAAACTGGATATTGTCATTTGCTCTTTTTTTTTTTTTTTTTTTGGTACCTTGTGCATGTGAGGCAGGTGGCAGAACCCACTGAACTAAATCCCTAGCCCTGCTTTTTCTTTCTTATTATTTTTGAGACAGGGTCTCACTATGTAGTTCAGGCTGGCCTTGAACTCACTATGTAGCCCAGGCTGGCCTCAAACTCATGGCAATCTTTCTGGGATCCTCCTGCCTCAGCATCCACAGAAGCTAGGCTACCAGTACAGGCCTAATTTTGTTTTCATTTTTATGGATGGTGATCATCAGTCTTGTACAGGATAATTTCTGTCTCTACTGTTTCAAAATGGTCCAGCTGACTGCAAAGATGCAGCCCCCCCATAGAACCAGATGAGCCTTAAGGTTCTGCTAGACCATACCCAGTTTGGGTCACAAGAGCTCCTGGAAATCATTCTGTCCATTGAAAATTTTCCTCAATTTTTCCTATGTATGGGATGGCACCTGACAACTGCTGAGTGTTTCTCTAGCTCAGCAACATCCTAGGCTGAAGCCTGTGCACTCCCCTGGCTATGTTTGCTTTCTGCTTCATCTCCAGATTTCCTTTGCCTTTGAGGATCTGGATGCTGAGGGGAGCTGCAAACTCAGGAGTGCCTTCGGGAACTTTATAGTAGGATGCCCTTCCTGATGGACACAGAGGAGCCCGGGTTATGTTTCTGTCCCTGCTTTCTTCCTTTGGTCAGGTGACTTCTGTCACAGCACAGCTGGCACAACTCCCAGAGGTGCGAACATCTGGACAACCAGACTAACTCAGGCCCGTGTGCACCTGCTCACCCACACTTGCGCATGCATGGGCACTATGCACACATAGACACTGGACACACCAGCCAGAGCCAGTAGGCTCTCCTGCACCTATGCACTTACACACAGCGTGCAAGTGCACTCTGGTATAAACGTGTACTCGCGCAGACACAAACAGGCTAGTGCCTGTGGCTATGGCAGTTTGCACATGGAATCTCATACATGAGCACCCTCTCATGCATATGCACAACTGCTCTTCACAAACACCCTTAGAGGGTATAGGTCTCCACGTACCTGCTGAACACATCTCCACCCTAGTATCTCCATGAGAATCTACACTTGAATTTGTGCAATACACATGTATTACCACAACTGCACCCCAAACAGCAAATCATGCATACACATATACCACATATGTATGCACAGAAGCATCGCAAATGTGTACACACGTGGGCATTAGCACACTACACGCACACACCTTCACATGCTCTGCGATGCACGTGTGTGCACACACCTTCGTGTGGTCATTCACACCCATTTATCCTCTGAGCCTCTCATTCACCAACACTGCCTGTCTGGTAATAACTTCAGCTCCTGCATCTAATAGAATTTTCTATTTATTTGTTTATTTTTGGCACTGGGGATCGAACTCAGGACCTTGGCCCCTTATTTCAGCTTTTGCCAGCTTCTGTGTTGTCATCTAGATGGTGTCACACTTAACTGTTTTTCTTGGGCTGCCCCTAGGCCTGAGAGTACAGCATCATGCCTACTCTTCTGAACCAATCCATGATGGCTCTAAAACCACACATTCTGAGGGAGAATGCCAGGCACGATTCAAATGTGGGTGTTAAGAGGGTGACTCTGGGCAGTTCTGCTCAATCGGCAGTGTGTCTGCGGAATTAGATTGGCACCTAGGGACTCAGCATTTGAATTTGTTGAAGTAACAACTCAATTTGTAACCCCAAACAAAATGATACCTCAAGCAGCAGTAGTGGTCAGGGCCCCCCACTTCTTCAGGTGCAGCCCTGGTCCCTGACCTTATCTGTGCACAAAGCACAGGAGAGGGGCAGGGACAAGCTTCATCTCAACTGCCTTTCTTATAGACAAAACATTTTTTGGTAGTGCTGGTGATTTAACCCAGGACCTCACATGTTAGGTTAAGTGTTTTATCGCACAGCTACAACCCCAGTCTTTTTAAATGTTTTTATATTGAGACAGAGACTTGCTAAATTGCCCAGGCTGGCCTTAAACTTATGATCCTCCTGCCTCAGCCTCCTGAGTAGTAGCTATTACAAGTGTGTACCACCACACCCAGCTTGCCAAGGAATTACTTATTGTGAGCAAAGTATTGTACTTTTTTAAAAAAAATTAGAGATTTTACATGGGCTAAATTTCACCCTTTTAGCATAGTTCTGAGAAAAATAGTTGGGGAACCACCAGCACAGCAGCCAGAGGGATTTTTGTCACAATCCACATCAGTTTACTGCCCTCTGCACTGAATGACTTCCACCTCTCTGATGAAAAGCTTAAGTCCTCTCCTTGGCCCATGAGACCCTAAAGGTTTTCTCTGTCTCCACCAGCCCCCTCACTAATTCTATTCCAGCCTTAGTGCTTACTGTTCCTCAAATTTGTCAGGCATGCTCCTGCCTCAGGGCCTTTGCACAAGCTCTCCCCTCTGCCTACATTAGTCCCTTTAGATATGTCTTTGCTGCGTCACACTGAGCAGAGGATACTCCTGAGGTATAAAAACTGGAGAGGACACTTCTGAGGTTACTGGCCTAGGGCAAAACCATTTCCAAACACCACAAACTGAGCTGTTTATTCTTCTGGGTCACCCAGACTGAAACACGGATATTTTTGTGCTCACACTATTTGCAGTGTTCATAACCACAGTACCCTGCAATGTAGAAACCCCTGCAGCCACTAAGCCATTGCTGCTGCTGAATTCATGAATCTGGGCTCTCAGAGGCTCTTGTACTATGACTGTAGAAGTCACACTGTAATGAGGGTCATTCAGCCTTCTGTGCCGACACCTGGACCATACATCCCTGGGCTGTGCAGATTCCTGACTAGGGCATAAACATTCCTGTGGTCACAATGACTTGGATAAACCACTGTTGGGAACATTCCTTATTCACAGGAAGTGGGGTATAGACACTGCTGGAGTCAGACAGACACAGTCACTGTCATTAGACTGAAGTGTGGATAAACACTCAAGTTTAAGTACTGCTTCGGGAGGTAGACTGGACAGTCAGACTTGAGGGTGTATACTCTTGGGGTCAGACTGGGATGCAGCCACTCCTCAGGTCTCAGCCAGGCAAGGAAACACCTGGGGTCACAGACTAGAGAAGGCGTGGATAGCCTTTGGGTGAGAGAGCACAGGTTTCTAAACAAACAGGGTTGAAAAGAATGATTAAAAAATAAATATACAGGGTTAGCTCCTGTTTGCTAGGTTGTAGTTTCAGGACTGCAGTCAAGGCAGACTTTCTGACATTTAAAGAGATTTTTCTTTTAGATAGGGTCTTTCTATAGTTCAGGCCAGCCACGAAGACCAGGGTGACCTCGAACTTGAGGTGAGTCTTCTGCCTCGGCCTCCTGAGTGCTGGGTTTGGATTAGGTTCGTGCTGAGATTACGGGTGTGCTACCACACCTAATGAGGGGATTGTGTATGTAGTGCTGGGGATGAAAGCAGGGCCTTGCACATTCAGGTGTTTTACCACTGAGC